CAGGGAGTTTGGTGTCGCGTTTGTGGACCTGACAGACGCGATCGAGGAACTTCAGATGGTTCGCAGCGCGCACGTGGACGATCTCAAGGGTGCGTCCACGGAGAAGCTAGCGGACGCTTTCGCGGACGCGCTGGAGGCAGAGTTCGGGGAGCTCACTCGTCAGAAGCGAAAGTTCGAGCAATGTGGAGCTATTCACGATCAACATGATGATGGGTCCGCCTGGTGTTCTCAAGATCACAACGCGGCGCATTTGAGACCCATGCAGGTGGAGAAGACGAAAGAAGACGAGGAACCTCTGGAACAAAAGGACAGGACGTCGTGTTGGCATCTCCTTGGTGGAGCTGCTTGGATGTTGGTTACCAGATCTGACGTTGCAGTTCATATCGGATATTTACAACGGCATGCTCATGGACCCCGCTGGAAACATGTACGTCATCTGAATTCTGTAGTGCGATGGATCAAGCGCAAGAAGGCTTCTCTGGTTTACTATGCCGTACCGCTTCCCTGGACTATTGTAGGATTTCTGGACAGTGCGTTCAGAGCAACCGAACCGGATTGCTTAGCGGTCCGAGCAGCAGTGATTGTGATAGAAGGAGTTGATTTCATGCCAACTGGAGGGCTGTGTGCGACGGTGGAGTTTAATTTGCGAAAACAGCCCAGAGTTTGTCGATCGACGTTTCCAGCCGAGTTGGCAAGTGTAGATGATGGTATCAGCAACGCCTTTTTTTCACGCAGGTGAAGATATGTGAGATTGTTCATGGGCCTCTTACTGCGAAGCAGATTCAACGATGTATGGACACTGGTCGATTGCGGGTGGATCTTCACGTGTGCACGGATAACAAGGGTTTGTTTTCTGCTCTTGGCGCTACGGAGCTCAAGGCCCGAGCCGAGCCCCACCCACTGTATTTATTGCGTGCCCTACGGGATAGATTGGAGGCGGGGGCTCGTTGTAAGCTTTGGTGGGTGGATACTCGTGCTATGATTAGTGACGCCATGACGAAGGGCGGACTCGCTCGTGAACCGATTCTTCGTTTGTGGGCTACGGCTATCCTGGAGATGACAGGTGACGAGCCGATTGCCCTATGTTTGTGCTCTCATCATCGCAGTTGGTGTGAAGTTTGGGCCTTGTTTGAGAGCTCGCGTCAGAATTTAATGATCCGTGCTCTGTCTGTCTTTTGTTGGCAGCTTGCCTCATCGAGGTCGGTTGCCGTGCTCAGAACGTGAACCCAATATATTGTTTTGCATGATTCCGTGAAGATTTAAGCTAGGATTGCCGCGTTCTTTTCAGAATATTCAGCTAGTAGACGTGCGCTGAGTTATCACACCCCGAGTTAAAGTGTAGGGGTCCTCCCGAAGGTCAGGTATGGACGCATATTCAGCGAAGCGTGGTGCATGTTTTCCATGATTGATTTGGCTCAAGCCGGTCAGTGAAAAGCCTCTCTGTGAGTGTGTATCCTGCCCGTGGCGGCCAGAATCCCAGCCCCAGTCCATCCTCCATATCGCCGAAGGCGACGATCCATATCCACGACGACGTTCATCTACGTCCTCCTCCTATCCTTGCCTTCGCGCCTGATCCGCCTGAGTGTACGCTCGAGTTCGGTTTCACGGTCGACGGACGCGTTGGCCTTCCCTCAGTACGTCAATGACTACCTCCAACGGACTTGGGAGGGTGCGTGCGAGGAAAGCAATTCCTCCTCCTCCTCCTCCTCCCCCTCCTCCTCCTCCTCCTCCTCCTCCTCCTCCTCCTCCTCCTCCTCCTCTTCCTACCCTCTTCCTTATAAATGATCCCCCCCTGTCGCACCCTGAGGCCAGTCGAAAGAGTGAGCCCGGCGTTTCGCTGGAGGCCGCCTAACCACTTATGATCTTGAAGCGCGAAATTTGCAACAGCTTCGGGGATGGAGGGGAGGACAAAACGCGCCCCCCCTCCCACCATCTACAACTGCACTGGGCTGAATAGGCGAGGCACGCAGCAGTGGCAACAATCAACGCTCCTGTTCAGCGACGGTGCTGTGGACTGGTTGGCTCCGCATGCTGTGGGCGACGATGGTTTTGTGTGCACCGCCTTATCCGCCTGACTCCTTGGCTTCATGACGGCGGCTTCGATAGCAACTGAAACGCCGACCCGTTGGACACGATTCCTGTTTCAAGAGCATGACTGCCACGTCGCTACCCAGCACCACGGGCTCGGGAAATATTACGGTGCCCACCACGACGGAGTTCATCGCCACCTGGTCGTCGCCTGCACGTTCTATGTATCGGTTGTGCCTTACGGGGTGGTGACATGGCCACTCAGAAGGACACCCAGATTACGTCCATCGGCCAAACCATCTGAGGCCAGCCGCAGACAGTTGCAACAGGACCCCTCCTTCATCCTCCTCTGCTCCTCCCTTCCTTCTCGCGGCTTCTCTACTTCGCCCCTCTTGCGCGTGTTCTGGGGCCGACGGGTAGCTCCTTGGGTTGCCAGCGCTCTTCGCCCCCGTGGTGTTTCTTCCTTCTCTCTTCAAGCGTATGTTTTGTTTCAAGGTCACCCGCACCAGCGGTGCGCGCGCCCAGCCGTACCCGACCCTACACGGTAGGACACGGGACGGTTTTGTTGCGCACACCCTACAAATATTGCGAAGGCCTCACGGCCGGTGCCGCCGACCCTGGAGGGCGACCCATGCGTTTTCTAATGTGGCGGGGGGGGGCCTCTTGGGGGTATCTTTGGGTCTCGTGTGTGGGGGGGGTCGTGTTGGGGCCGTTGTTGGCAATCGTGAGGCTTTCTCGGGAGCGTCGTTGGCCGACGACGACGACGACGTTGACGGCGGTGGCGATCTGGAGCTATTATCAAGGGTCTCTCGGGGACTCTCTGGGGCTCTCTCGGGGACTCTCGGGGCCTTCTTGGGCCAGTTTGGGGCAATCTTGGGGGCATCTGGGGCCGTCTTGGAGCGTCGGCAAGTTGAAACGGCGAGAACGCCAAAATCTGTCAAAAACTTTGTGGAAATCGTAGATTTTTCCCTTTTCGTGCCCTCTTGGGAGTGCTCTTGGAGACTTCTTGGAGCGTCTTGGCAATCTCTTGGGCCGTCTGGAGGCTACTTTGGTGTCTTCGACCGATGGTTCGGCGATTCGGGGCCCTCTGGAGCCGTCTTGGAAGCCTCTTGGGGCACTCTTGGCCAGTCTGGGGGCTTTTCTAGGTCCCGGGACATCCCGGGGGGGATGCGTATCTGCCCCCCCCTCCCCCCCCGGGACCCCCCCCCGGGACCCCCCCCCACCCCTCCCCCTGCGGGGAAGGGATCAAAGGGAAGGGGCTTCCGTTCGACTCAGCTACGACGTTGCTCGATTTCGCTTTGGTTTCGCCTTGGCTGGCGCGCCTGAGGGGAAGGCGACGACGACGACGACGACGACGACGACGACGACGACGAACGGAAGAGCATCGACGACGACGACGACGACGACGACGACGACGACGACGACGACGACGACGACGACGACGACGACGACGACGACGTTCACGACGAACGGAAAAGCATCTTCCACACGCCGACAGGGTCGGCGGATTTGTTTCATGTTTTGCTCCATCCCCCTCCGCTTGTGTGGGACATGTGTGCGGGTACCCCAGGCTATGCCTTGGTTGGGCTACGCATTCGCGAGTTTGGGTGCCTTCCTTTTCTCCCTCCTCGTCCTCCCCTCTTCCTCCTCCTCCTCCCGTCGCCTCGCCCTTCCTCGTCCCGTCTTCTGGGGAGCAGTTGTCGGGGATGCTTGTCCGTCGGTTTTGAATTCCGCACCCCCTTGGTTTCTGCCAAGTCTGCGGCGAGTTTTTGTGAGGTGGGGCTTGCCCCGCGTAGCGGCGTACTGGGAAAGGCTGAGTAGGTTAGCTCCTGTTGGTTGCGCGGATGTAGGGCTTCGTGCGGCAGGAGCAATTTATCGTGCCAGGCGTAATTGCATTGTCCGTGGCATTGCCGCCTTGCTGGATTACCTCTCGCATGCAATGCTTGATCAGTTGCCGCGGGGGAAAACCACGGATGAAGCGCGGTGTTCTCGTCTCAGCGCCGCGCACATTCGTTTAGCGAGTTGCAGCACAGCTTCACAAATGGAGGGCGGCCCGCTTTCAAACTGTGGCTCTCGCTTTAGCGCCGCGCACATTCGTTTTAAAACTTTGCAGCCGATTCACGGATGGAGGGTTGCATTTGTTCACAACGTGGCCCTCGCCTTAGCTCCGCGCGCAGTCGTTTTTTTGTTGTTGTTTATCTCTATGAGTTTCGCAAGTGGAGGGCGGTCCGCTTTCAAAATGTGGCTCTCGCTTTAGCGCCGCGCGCATTCGTTTAACAAATTGCAACAACCTCGCGGATGGAGGGCGGCTCCTTTTCAACACGTGGTTCTCGCTATAGTGCCGCGCACATTCGTTTCAAGATTTTGCAACAGTTTCGAGGATTACCATTGCTAACGTCCCAGCAGTGGTGTTTGGGCACGGTGTCGGAATTTCAGGGCGCAACAGTTAGCTTGATTCGCGGTGTTAGTCCCAGGAACGCCGTTCTGTCACGACTCAAGATCGTCAATGCGTAGCAGTAACGGTGATTCGTGGCGTTGAGGTCCCAGGAATGGAGTTCTGGCGCACTTCCAGATTTACGGGTGCCTTTCAACGGTGCATTTTCGCCAGTGAAAATGAATCCATGCAGGGAGTTATAAAGGAAGAGTTTGGAGGGAGGGTTGATTGCAGTATATTTGATGGGTCTTTGGTTTACACTGGTCCTCCTCCTCCTCCCCCTCGTCCTCGTCCTCGTCCTCCTCCTCCTCCTCCTCCTTCTCCTAGAGGCATGGGAGAGAGAGAGAGAGGGAGGGCACGAGAGGGAGAGAGAGAGAGAGAGAGAAAAAAAAAAAAAAAAAAAAAAAGAGAGAGAGAGAGAGGGAGAGCGAGAGAGAGCCAGGCAGAGGGGGATGGAGGGCAGGGGAGTGGACGAGTTTCTCGCGCTCCATCCCCTCTCCGCCGTGACTCTCCCGCCTTCCCCAGCACTCTCCTCGAGGATCAAATGCTGCAGCACGCGGAGGAAGAGGCCCACCGCTGCAACGTGGCCAAGCAGGAGGAAGAGGCGCGCTGGGATCGAGCCAGGCCACCGCGCGCGCGGTCTTCCCCAAAGGCCCCGGAACATTCAGATCTATGTTTCGACATCCGCTCTGGAGGTTCTTTTCTTCTACGGAGATTGCGCTCGTCTTCTTGCGGCATCGACGTCCGCTTGGATCAATGTTTTCTTCTGCCACCCGGAGGTGTAGCAGGAGGACGATCGCCCCCGTCCTCCTTCCACTCTGTCATACCCCCTTCCTTCTTTTTTGAATATCATGGGAACGCTTGCCTTTGTTGTCGTCCTCGTCGTCCTCCTTGTGTCGGATCCCTCCGCGAATTTGAACGCAAGCTTTTCACACGTCGGGCAGGAAGTTCTTTACTCGTGCATGGGAAGTGGGTCCAATTGGAACACCTGGCGTATGTGGGAGAATCGCGTGGGTCCAGTGTCCCTTCCGCCTGGATCCAACTTTTTGGCGCGGAAGCCTCGTGGATCGAATTCCTGCCTTGCAGTATTCTCTCACTCCACGTCACGCCAGGGGCCCAGCGGGATCTGCAAACCGATGCTATGACTCTATCTGGGAGGGGTTCCAAGCGCGCGCTCGCCACGACAGGGACAACAGAAAATGTGCGCTTAATCTCCTGGAGGTTTGTTATTCCTCCGTCCTCCTCCTCCTCCTCCTTCTCCTCGTCCTCCTCCCTCCTGGTCATCCTTGTGCGCCTGCGTTGCTGCACTCGGGCCGCATACTTGTTCGATCCTGGTCATCTTGATGGGATCGGCGGCCAGAGAAGGTCAGCGCATGCGCGCAGGAGAACACGAGCAAGTGGGATGGAAGAGGAGGAGGGGAGGAGGAGGAGGAGGGCGAGGAGCAGGACTGACAGTTTGCGCGACAGTGTCGCGGGGAACGAGGGGATAAAGAGGAGAGAGGGAGGAGGGGGATAGGGGGGGAAGGGAGGAGGGGGAGGAGGTGGAGGGGAACGCGGGAGGGACAAGAAGGAGGCGGCAGAAAAGACGCAGGGAGAAGGATCAGGAGGAGGAGGAGGAGGAGGAGGAGGAGGAGGAGGAGAACGAGGAACGCACAGTCCCAGTGGCGTTGGCGCGCAAATCGGCGCTGGATTTCCGGGGAACAGAAGTGGCCCCGCCGCCAGCACCTCGCTCAGAAGCCGCATCAGCCAACCCAGCATTCAGGGCGACCTGCAGTGAGCAAGGGCCGGCCGAAAAGGAAAGCATTTGGATCGCAAAGCGCTGTGATTCGACCCGAGGTCGTGTCGTGCTGGGGCTGGTTCGGTGAAAGACATGCCCAGCGCTTGCGGGCAAGGACAGATAGAAACATCCTCCCACAGCCTGCGCTGAGACGTACCTAAACGCACAGATCGTTCCCAACTCTTTCATGTTCTTGGACCATTACTGTGAATCCGTTGCGCCAAGCGTCTCGTCCTCCTCCTTCCTCCCCCCCCTCCTCCCCATGGATTCCCCCTAGTCCCACCACCAGACGTGTCGTTAAGGCGGGCCGGACGTTTCACCTGATATTTCCTCACCGCCTATATTCTGAGGCTCGATAATCTTAACATTCTAACAGCCACACACATACACTTGGAGATGCAAGAAGGGCAGTTCCTTTTCAAAAGGGGGTTCTCGCACTGGCACCGCGCACACCCGTTTTATTTGAAGTCCGGCAGTTGTGCGGGTGGAGGGCGGTACGTTTCAACATGGGGCCATCGCCCTGGCGCCGCGCAGGCTCGTTAAGCAAAGCAACAGGTAAGCGGATGGAGTGCGTCTCCTTTCAAAGTGAGGCTCTCACCCCGGCGCCGCGCCCACTCGCTCGCCAAATGTCGGGCAGTTCCATGGATGGGCGGCAGTACCTTTCTCAAAACGGGGCTTTCGGCTTGATGCCGCGCACGCTCGCAGTACACCTTTCCGGCAACTGCACGGACTGCACGGATGGAGGGTGGTTTCTTTTTTGTGAATGGGATTCCCACCCTGGAGAGGCCGTTTCACTTCTTCATGACCCGGAGTTCCACGGGTGCAGCAGACGCACGAATGGAGAGCGGCTCATTTTCAGAGTGGGGTTCCCGCTTCGGGTCTCTTCAACAGTATGGTGGCCAGAGTTTTCAGCATGACAGCAGATCCTTGTCAACATGGGTTTCTCGCAGGACATTTATTTGTGCTTTATGTTCGTACCTATGTGCACTTCCTATAGCTGGAAGGATGGGCGGTGGATCTTTACAAAATGGAGGCTTGCCCGAACGGCCAGCCATCGGGGCGCTCGTCTTCAGGGTGGTGTGTGTGGTGGGTCTTTCCGCAGTGAAATGGAATGAATGTTTGAAGAGACCAAAATGGGGAGGGCACTTGGGACAGACAGTGTATTGCAGCATCGTTAATGCATCGTAGATTTACTATAGTCATCCTCCTCGCCCATTCCGGCACATATCTTACACGGCTCGTGCCCCACAGGGAGCTCCACCCATGGCCCCAGAGACACAGTCCGCATGCCCCCCTCCTCCTCCTCCTCCTCCCTCCTCCTCCTCCTCCTCCTCCTCCTCCTCCTCCTCCTCCTCCTCGTCCTCCTCCTCCTCCTCCTCCTCCTCCTCCTCCTCCTCCTCCTCCTCCTCCTCCCACTCCTCCTCCCCCCCCCGCCGCACATTTCGGCACACCCCTCACACGGCTCAGGCCCCACAGGGCCCCCCACCTGCCGCCCCAAAGACGCAGCTCGCATGCCGTCCACCTGCCCGTCCCCCGCCCGGTTTGCCCAGCTCTACCTGGCTCCGAAGATCGACGAGTGCAACCATGGGGCGTGCAGTCGTGGGCATCACAGTTTATTCTTTTTGCGTAAGCAAACAGACGGGTAACACATTTTCGCCTTGTGCGCGCATTCGGCGGCAACTGTGACGATACAGCTGTGCGCATTTGCGAAATGCGCCCTGCACGGGTATGCAGGTTGGGGCTTTCACTGACATCCACCACTTGGTGTCGAGCTGGAAAACAAACAGTCCGCATGCCGGCCCCCCCCGCCCGCGTCGGCATGATTACCGCTCAAACGCTGCGTGCTCCACAGGGAGCCCCACCTGCAGCTTCAGTGGGCGCGCTCACACGGGGGGCTCCGCCCGCTTCGGCACACCCTCACGCGGACCGTGCCCCGCAGGGAGTTCTGAGCGCCTCTGCGCGCTTGCTCCGCAGCCCTCTATCCGCATATCCCCGCGGCGCGGAGTATACGAAGAGACGAAAGGGCACGACATGCGCTGCATGCAGGCGCACAGGGTTGTGCCACTCGCCAGGCGAATTTTCGGACGATGCCTGGCCCGAGCAGTTTCACAAGCCCGTCTGTCAGCATTGGCGGGGGCACTCCCTGTCGGAGCAGCGTCCACCCTCTGTCTGCAACCGGCAGAAGGAGAGTGCCGCGGGACGGGTGTCATAAGTGGCTTGTGGACATGGGCAGGCGACGCTAACCCTTTGACCTTGTCTCCAAATCGCAACAGTTTCCTCAAACCCTCCTGTGTTGTTGGGCTTGTTTTTCTCTCCGCAGCGCCACGCATCGCCCTGCTCACCTCACCTTCCCCCTCTCCTCCTCGTCCTCCTCCTCGTTCTCTTCCTTCTCCTCTTCTGGCCCTGGCTTACTTCAGCACACCCGTCACACGGTTCATGCCCCACAGACATTTCCACCCACGGCCCACGGTCCCAGAGACACAGTTCCCATGTTTGGCTCAAGGCTCGCGGAGCGTGCCAGGGATCCCGCACCGCCTTCCAGCCACCGCTCAAAGGCTGAGCTTGCCCCTTCTCGCAATGGTGCTGGAGGCTCAGCTGCAGCAGGCCGTGCTGCTGAAGAAGGTGGTGGATGCCATGAAGGACCTCTGCAAGGACGTGAACTTCGACTGCTCGGAGAAGGGGCTGCAGGTGCAGTCCATGGACAGCTCGCACGTGGCCCTGGTCTCACTGCTTCTGCGGGAGTCCGCGTTCTCGGACTTCAAGTGCGACAGGCCGACCTCGCTTGGCATGAACGTGGACTCGTTGGGCAAGATCCTGAAGATGTGCGGGCAGAACGACTCGCTGAAGCTGCGCTGGCAAAACGACGCAGACCTCGTGAGCTTCCAGTGCGAGAGCGGGGAGGACGACAGGATCGCCGACTTCGACTTGAAGCTGATGCAGATTGAGAGCGAGCACATGGAGGTGCCTGAGCAGCACTACAAGGTGGTCGCAAAGCTGCCGTCTGCGGAGTTCCAGAAGATCTCTGAGGAGTTTGGCGAGACGATGCAGCTGAAGGCCACCAAGGAGGGCATCACCTTCAGCGTTCAAGGCGACATGGGCGCCGGCAACGTCATGCTGAAGCCACGCGAGGCAGAGAAGCCCGAGGACAAGGTGAGCCTCACCGTCCACGAGCCGGTAACTGCCACATTCGCGCTGCGCTACCTGGTCAATTTCGCCAAGGCCGCGCCGCTGTGCGGCACCGTGGAGCTCGGCCTTGGCCCAGACGCGCCCCTGCTCGTGAGGTACAACCTCGAGAACGCGGACAATGGCCACTTGCAGTTTTACCTGGCTCCGAAGATCGACGAGTGAAACCATGGGGCGTGCAGTCGTGGGTAGCCCAGCTTTTTTTGCGTGAGCCCACACGGGTTGCACAGTGTCGCCTTGTGCGCGCATTCGGCGGCAACTGTGACGATACAGCTGTGCGCATTTGCGAAATGCGCCCTGCACGGGTATGCAGGTTGGGGCTTTCACTGACATCCACCACTTGGTGTCGAGCGGGAAAAGAAACAGTCCGCATGCCGGCCCCCCCCGCCCGCGTCGGCATGATTACCGCTCAAACGCTGCGTGCCCCACAGGGAGCCCCACCTGCGGCCTCAGTGGGCGCGCTCACACGGGGGGCTCCGCCCGCTTCGGCACACCCTCACGCGGACCGTGCCCCGCAGGGAGTTCTGAGCGCCTCTGCGCGCTTGCTCCGCAGCCCTCTATCCGCATATCCCCGCGGCGCGGAGTATACGAAGAGACGAAAGGGCACGACATGCGCTGCATGCAGGCGCACAGGGTTGTGCCATTCGCCAGGCGAATTTTCGGACGATGCCTGGCCCGAGCAGTTTCACAAGCCCGTCTGTCAGCATTGGCGGGGGCACTCCCTGTCGGAGCAGCGTCCACCCTCTGTCTGCAACCGGCAGAAGGAGAGTGCCGCGGGACGGGTGTCATAAGTGGCTTGTGGACATGGGCAGGCGACGCTAACCCTTTGACCTTGTCTCCAAATCGCAACAGTTTCCTCAAACCCTCCTGTGTTGTTGGGCTTGTTTTTCTCTCCGCAGCGCCACGCATCTCCCTGCTCACCTCACCTTCCCCCTCTCCTCCTCGTCCTCCTCCTCGTTCTCTTCCTTCTCCTCTTCTGGCCCTGGCTTACTTCAGCACACCCGTCACACGGTTCATGCCCCACAGACATTTCCACCCACGGCCCACGGTCCCAGAGACACAGTTCCCATGTTTGGCTCAAGGCTCGCGGAGCGTGCCAGGGATCCCGCACCGCCTTCCAGCCACCGCTCAAAGGCTGAGCTTGCCCCTTCTCGCAATGGTGCTGGAGGCTCAGCTGCAGCAGGCCGTGCTGCTGAAGAAGGTGGTGGATGCCATGAAGGACCTCTGCAAGGACGTGAACTTCGACTGCTCGGAGAAGGGGCTGCAGGTGCAGTCCATGGACAGCTCGCACGTGGCCCTGGTCTCACTGCTTCTGCGGGAGTCCGCGTTCTCGGACTTCAAGTGCGACAGGCCGACCTCGCTTGGCATGAACGTGGACTCGTTGGGCAAGATCCTGAAGATGTGCGGGCAGAACGACTCGCTGAAGCTGCGCTGGCAAAACGACGCAGACCTCGTGAGCTTCCAGTGCGAGAGCGGGGAGGACGACAGGATCGCCGACTTCGACTTGAAGCTGATGCAGATTGAGAGCGAGCACATGGAGGTGCCTGAGCAGCACTACAAGGTGGTCGCAAAGCTGCCGTCTGCGGAGTTCCAGAAGATCTGCCGCGACCTCAAGGAGTTTGGCGAGACGATGCAGCTGAAGGCCACCAAGGAGGGCATCACCTTCAGCGTTCAAGGCGACATGGGCGCCGGCAACGTCATGCTGAAGCCACGCGAGCCGAGGACAAGGTGAGCCTCACCGTCCACGAGCCGGTAACTGCCACATTCGCGCTGCGCTACCTGGTCAATTTCGCCAAGGCTGCGCCGCTGTGCGGCACCGTGGAGCTCGGCCTTGGCCCAGACGCGCCCCTGCTCGTGAGGTACAACCTCGAGAACGCGGACAATGGCCACTTGCAGTTTTACCTGGCTCCGAAGATCGACGAGTGAAACCATGGGGCGTGCAGTCGTGGGTAGCCCAGCTTTTTTTGCGTGAGCCCACACGGGTTGCACAGTGTCGCCTTGTGCGCGCATTCGGCGGCAACTGTGACGATACAGCTGTGCGCATTTGCGAAATGCGCCCTGCACGGGTATGCAGGTTGGGGCTTTCACTGACATCCACCACTTGGTGTCGAGTGCCCGGCCCGCTTCGTGCCATGATTACCGCTCAAACGCTGAGTGCCCCACGGGAGGCCAGCTGCAGCACGCCGGACCTCTGCGGACGTGTCGACTGCTGCTGCAGGTGCACATGGACGCTCGCACGTGGCCCTGGTGCTTCTGCGGGAGTCCGCGTTCTCGGACTTCAAGTGCGACAGGCCGACCTCGCTTGGCATGAACGTGGACTCGTTGGGCAAGTGAAGATGTGCGGGCAGAACGACTCGCTGAAGCTGCGCTGGCAAAACGACGCAGACCTCGTGAGCTTCCAGTGCGAGAGCGGGGAGGACGACAGGATCGCCGACTTCGACTTGAAGCTGATGCAGATTGAGAGCGAGCACATGGAGGTGCCTGAGCAGCACTACAAGGTGGTCGCAAAGCTGCCGTCTGCGGAGTTCCAGAAGATCTGCCGCGACCTCAAGGAGTTTGGCGAGACGATGCAGCTGAAGGCCACCAAGGAGGGCATCACCTTCAGCGTTCAAGGCGACATGGGCGCCGGCAACGTCATGCTGAAGCCACGCGAGGCAGAGAAGCCCGAGGACAAGGTGAGCCTCACCGTCCACGAGCCGGTGCCACATTCGCGCTGCGATATTTCGCCAAGGCCGCGCCGCTGTGCGGCACCGTGGAGCAGACGCGCCCCTGCTCGTTCGAGAACGCGGACAATGGCCACTTGCAGTTTTACCTGGCTCCGAAGATCGGAGTGAAACCATGCAGTCGTGGGTAGGCTTTTTTTGCGTGAGCCCACACGGGTTGCACAGTGTCGCCTTGTGCGCGCATTCGGCGGCAACTGTGACGATACAGCTGTGCGCATTTGCGAAATGCGCCCTGCACGGGTATGCAGGTTGGGGCTTTCACTGACATCCACCACTTGGTGTCGAGCGGGAAAAGAAACAGTCCGCATGCCGGCCCCCCCCGCCCGCGTCGGCATGATTACCGCTCAAACGCTGCGTGCCCCACAGGGAGCCCCACCTGCGGCCTCAGTGGGCGCGCTCACACGGGGGGCTCCGCCCGCTTCGGCACACCCTCACGCGGACCGTGCCCCGCAGGGAGTTCTGAGCGCCTCTGCGCGCTTGCTCCGCAGCCCTCTATCCGCATATCCCCGCGGCGCGGAGTATACGAAGAGACGAAAGGGCACGACATGCGCTGCATGCAGGCGCACAGGGTTGTGCCACTCGCCAGGCGAATTTTCGGACGATGCCTGGCCCGAGCAGTTTCACAAGCCCGTCTGTCAGCATTGGCGGGGGCACTCCCTGTCGGAGCAGCGTCCACCCTCTGTCTGCAACCGGCAGAAGGAGAGTGCCGCGGGACGGGTGTCATAAGTGGCTTGTGGACATGGGCAGGCGACGCTAACCCTTTGACCTTGTCTCCAAATCGCAACAGTTTCCTCAAACCCTCCTGTGTTGTTGGTCTTGTTTTTCTCTCCGCAGCGCCACGCATCTCCCTGCTCACCTCACCTTCCCCCTCTCCTCCTCGTCCTCCTCCTCGTTCTCTTCCTTCTCCTCTTCTGGCCCTGGCTTACTTCAGCACACCCGTCACACGGTTCATGCCCAACAGACATTTCCACCCACGGCCCACGGTCCCAGAGACACAGTTCCCATGTTTGGCTCGAGGCTCGCGGAGCGTGCCAGGGATCCCGCACCGCCTTCCAGCCACCGCTCAAAGGCTGAGCTTGCCCCTTCTCGCAATGGTGCTGGAGGCTCAGCTGCAGCAGGCCGTGCTGCTGAAGAAGGTGGTGGATGCCATGAAGGACCTCTGCAAGGACGTGAACTTCGACTGCTCGGAGAAGGGGCTGCAGGTGCAGTCCATGGACAGCTCGCACGTGGCCCTGGTCTCACTGCTTCTGCGGGAGTCCGCGTTCTCGGACTTCAAGTGCGACAGGCCGACCTCGCTTGGCATGAACGTGGACTCGTTGGGCAAGATCCTGAAGATGTGCGGGCAGAACGACTCGCTGAAGCTGCGCTGGCAAAACGACGCAGACCTCGTGAGCTTCCAGTGCGAGAGCGGGGAGGACGACAGGATCGCCGACTTCGACTTGAAGCTGATGCAGATTGAGAGCGAGCACATGGAGGTGCCTGAGCAGCACTACAAGGTGGTCGCAAAGCTGCCGTCTGCGGAGTTCCAGAAGATCTGCCGCGACCTGAGGAGTTTGGCGAGACGATGCAGCTGAAGGCCACCAAGGAGGGCATCACCTTCAGCGTTCAAGGCGACATGGGCGCCGGCAACGTCATGCTGAAGCCACGCGAGGCAGAGAAGCCCGAGGACAAGGTGAGCCTCACCGTCCACGAGCCGGTAACTGCCACATTCGCGCTGCGCTACCTGGTCAATTTCGCCAAGGCCGCGCCGCTGTGCGGCACCGTGGAGCTCGGCCTTGGCCCAGACGCGCCCCTGCTCGTGAGGTACAACCTCGAGAACGCGGACAATGGCCACTTGCAGTTTTACCTGGCTCCGAAGATCGACGAGTGAAACCATGGGGCGTGCAGTCGTGGGTAGCCCAGCTTTTTTTGCGTGAGCCCACACGGGTTGCACAGTGTCGCCTTGTGCGCGCATTCGGCGGCAACTGTGACGATACAGCTGTGCGCATTTGCGAAATGCGCCCTGCACGGGTATGCAGGTTGGGGCTTTCACTGACATCCACCACTTGGTGTCGAGCGGGAAAAGAAACAGTCCGCATGCCGGCCCCCCCCGCCCGCGTCGGCATGATTACCGCTCAAACGCTGCGTGCCCCACAGGGAGCCCCACCTGCGGCCTCAGTGGGCGCGCTCACACGGGGGGCTCCGCCCGCTTCGGCACACCCTCACGCGGACCGTGCCCCGCAGGGAGTTCTGAGCGCCTCTGCGCGCTTGCTCCGCAGCCCTCTATCCGCATATCCCCGCGGCGCGGAGTATACGAAGAGACGAAAGGGCACGACATGCGCTGCATGCAGGCGCACAGGGTTGTGCCACTCGCCAGGCGAATTTTCGGACGATGCCTGAAGCACGTGTGGCCCGAGCAAGTTCACAAGCCCATCCGTCGGCATCCACCGGGACACTCCACGTCGGAGCAGCATCCACTCTCTGTCTGCAATCGGCAGGAGGAGAGTGCTGCGGGACCGGTGTCATAAGTGGCCTGTGGGTATGAGCAGGCGACGCTTATGTACCTTTTACCTTGTATGCAAATCGCAAAAGGTTTCAAGGAGTTACACAGTTTCGCCTTATGCGCACATTCGGCGGCAACTGGCGGCACAGATGTGCGCATTTGCGAAATGCGCCCTGCACGAGTGTGCAGGTTGGGGTTTTCACTAACATCCATGCCATCTCACTGGAGTCGAGCGGGAGAACAAATAGTTCGCATGCCGCCCCCGCCCCGCCAATTTCCGCATAATTACCGTTCACGCGTTTATGTGCTCTACAGGGAGCTCCACTGATATCCCCAGCGATACACGTTCCGCGTCCCCCGCTCCGCCCAGTTAAGCACACCCCTCACGCAGCTCCTGGCCCACCGAGAGCTCCGGCCACCATCTCAGTGGGCCCGTTCGTACGGGGGGGGGCTCCGCATACTTGGGCACACGCCTCACACGTTTCGTGCCCCACAGAGCTCTACTAATAGCCCAAGCGTTACATTGCGCATGGCGCCCCTCGCCCAATTCGGCACACCCTTCACACAGCTCGTGCCCAGCAGGGAGCCATAGCCCCATCCAGCCTTCTTTCGCTTCTCATCTGCAGTCGAAGTCTGGGGCGGCACACGTACAAATAATTGTCATGCGCTTGTGGGTGTATCACGGATTTCAGGATCCCCCAGCCTCGCGGATTTTTGTTGGGGTCGCACGCTTGAGCTTCTAGGATGTCCAGAGGGTTGAGTTGAACGATTGAATGTGTCGAAAGACAGCCGCACAGAGTCCTATCCGTTTGGGTCCATGCTTCGAGTTGGTTGTTGCTTGTTTGCTGCACCGAGCCCCCCTTTTCTCATTGCGGACACACAGCAATGACAGCGCCGATCCTGGCCAACTGTGAGGAGCCATAGGCTGATCTCAGCATGTATTAGGCCAGCTTTGGAGTCGCGAATAGGCCGCAACTTCAACTCTGGAAATTCATCCGCCCCAACCGCTCTGCAAGTTGCGACATCCGTTCTGGGTCAGACAGCGGCGCGTATTGCACGTCCACCTCCCACTGGAGTGGCAAGATTCCAGCCCTGCGGTGCCTGATGCGGCGTTCAGTACTTTCGAGCTCGGCCCTCAGAGCGGGTGGATACAGTCAAGACGTTGAAATAGGGACCGCTCTGGATTCGGTCCGTGGTTGTTCCTCTAGTCCTCCTCGTGCACCCAGGCTCCTTTGGTGCCCAAAGGGGGCTTCGTCCCTTACTTAGTGTTCCTGATTCCAGCAGCCCGGCTGTGCACAGGGGAGCCAGGACGAGGGGGAAGGGGGAGTGGCCAGCGTCAGGGAGGGGGAGGGGGGCTTCCTCGCATCCTCTGCCCACCCACGCCCTAAAGGCGGGCGGCGCTGAACGGCTCCACGCGCGTGGTGGCGGGGGAAAGGGGCTGGCCCAGCTACGACGTGAACTACGGGAGGGGCCGGGCCCTCCCCTCCCTCTGCCTCTCCCTTCCCCTCCGCTCCCGCCCTGGACCTGCATTGCGTCTCAGCGATGTGCACGCCCCCGGCACGGATCCCCGCATGGGATTGTTTCGCGGACACCTAAGTCCCGAGTCTCGGGTCCGCTCCTGTCCCCCTTTCCTTTCTGCCCCCCTCTCAATTCCCTGTCTCCCTGCCCCCTCCCCCCATTCCAGTTAGGTGTTCGATCATGTGCCCCTCGTTGAACGCAACCATCCAGCTTTCGCGCCGAAGACCGCTGGAAACCGCCAGCGACCGCCGAATACCGCCAGAAGGCCGCAGAAGACCGCCGAAGACGGCCCAGGAGCGATGGGTAACAAGGGGTCCATGGTCGAACACGTAACAGAGGGCTCTTCCCCCTCCCACCCAGCCCCACCCCGCTCCTCTCCCGTTCGGGCTGCCTGGGAGCTCAAAGCCTGGCCGCTCTTCGCTGGGGAGAGTGGCGGAAAAACTACTGGGAAGCTTTTATCAATGAAGTGGGCCGGCCCGGGCTGGGGCTGAAATCAACATGGAAATCTTCTTTGATTTCGCCGCTGGCCTGTGCGAAATCTCATTTTAGATAGTGGTTGCAGTTTTGTTTTTGGCCTTCATAGATTTCGAAACTCGCCCTTTCCATTGTTTTCTGTTCTTGCCTTGATTGTTTTCAATGTCATGTTGGCCATGTCTCCATGTGGCATCGTTGTCCAATGAATTTGTTGGCGGCCTTCTTGGCGGCATCTTTTTCCTGGTCTCTTTTGTTTTGGTTATTTCTGAAGCCGGACATTTTAATTAATTTTTCCGCCCCGTGGGGCGTTGCAACGCACCCTGGTACGACCCACCCACCCCTTCACGCACGGAGGGTGCCGTCACCTGCGAACGCGCAGCATCCGCGCTAATGCCATGTCAGGCAGACCACGCCCCGCTCCCCTTCGCTCGCGGTCGTGCCGCTGCTGCTTGCCCGTCCTCCGGCGTCTGCCCGCCCGTCTTTCTCAGTGGTTGGGGGGGGGGAGGCGCCTGTCCACGGCAGTTCGGAGGAGGAGGAGGAGGAGGAGGGGGCGGAGGAGGATGAGGAGGAGGAGGAGGAGGAGGAGGAGGAGGAGGAGGAGGAGGAGGAGGAGGAGGGAGGGGAGGAGGAGAGGAGGAGGAGGAGGAGGAGAGGAGGAGGAGAGGAGGGAGGAGGAGGAGGAGGAGGAGGAGGAGGGAGGAGGAGGAGGAGGGAGGAGAGAGGAGAGAGGAAGAGGAGAGAGGAAAGGTAGAGGAGAGAGGAGAGAGGAAGAGGAGAGAGGAGAGAGGAGAGAGGAGAGAGGAGAGAGGAGAGAGGAGAGGAGGAGAGAGGATAGAGGAGAGAGAGAGGAGAGAGGAGAGAGGAGAGGAGGGAGGGAGCGAGGAGGGAGGAGAGGAGGGAGGAGGGAGGAGGGAGGAGGTCGGAGGAAGAGAAGGGAGGAGGAAGAGGAGGGAGGAGGGAGGAGGGAGAAGAGAGGAGAGAGGAGAGAGAGAGAGAGAGAGGAGAGAGAGGAGGGAGGAGGAGGAGGAGGAGGAGGAGGAGGAAGAGGAGGAGGAGGAGGACGAGGAGGAGGAGGGAGGACTTGAAGTGATATGGCTTCGGGGCGCCTTAACCCCATAGGTGGAGCCACTGACCTGGTATTATCACCCTTGTACCACTCCAGGTCAGGACCACTTTGGGACAAAGCGAAAATCTGTCGGGATTGCGTCCCACAAGACAACGCCAGCTTTGTCCAACAAAGCTTGCCCTCCCTCGAGTGCGACAGCCCAGCATGAACGCAGTACCCGATGGGAGGGTGCAGTCAGGGCGGATAGAACCTGAAGGCCCCTATTGGTTCAAGCTGGGTTGCGGAAAGACCGAGGATATTCCCCAGCAAGCGGGCCTGACGAAACTCAAGTAATTCCCCCCCTCCTCTGAGCAGGGGCTAACCTACCCATGCTTCGCATAGCCTTTTTGGGCTCCTCTTGGGACCCGCTCGGGTCCTGGTTGGCCCCTCTTCAGGGCTCCATGGGTGGTGACTGCCGCGCCCGCAACGACAATCTGGCCTTCCCACGGCCGCCTAATCGGGCTCAAGTTTTCACATGCCAAGCCCCCCCCATTGGTGGGTGGGGGATGCCCATACCTGTCCATCGACAGGGATGGACATCTTAGCTTTAGGCTATTTGGCACCGTCAGTGCCGTAGGTGAAGAAAGGGGATGCCCATGCCTGTCCATCGAAAGGGATGGGCAGCCCAGCTTTCGGCCCTGGGGTGGAGACCAACACCTGTCCATCGACAGGGGTTGGCATTCAGATCCTATTTTACACCGCCAGTGCCAAAGGTTGCAGCGGTCGCTATGGTAGCATGGCCTTTTTCGCGGCCGTTGCGCGAGCCATGACCTTCCACGGTGACCCTGCCTTCGAGGGGCCAAGCCCTCACCAGTGCACGCTATGCACGCGGCCGGGGTCAGAACCCTCGCCGCTGCACCACATTAACTCAAGAGTGTCCAGTGGCCACGTTTGCGGGTCCCCTAATGCTGAATGGGCCCGCGCCCAAGCGATAAAAAAAACCGCCGGGCCCTTTGACCCCCGCCGATGTGCTAACGCCTGAACTCGTGGCTGCAGCCGGGCCCGTGTAACTCCGCGAGACCCGAGTTTGAGCTCTTGCCCGCGGCCGAACCAGTTTGGGCCCGTGCCCAACCCAGCGCCCACGGACAAGGTCCGCGCCCACTCAATCGGGCTTCACACCATCCCGGAGCGGGGGCCACGGGACGGGCGGGGCGGGGCGCGGGCCCAAGCTGGGGGAGGGGCAGCGCAGGCATACCTTAAGGGGCGCTTAAGGTACGCCTGCCAAGGGGCCCGCCGGCGGGGACGAGGCGGGCCCAGGGGGCCACGGCGGAACCCAGGAGACCCAGGCCAGAGCCCGCGGGGCCAAGCCGGGGCCACGGGGCCGGCCCGCGGAGCCCGCGGGGCGCCCAGGTCAGGCGCCCCTTAAGCGGCGCATGCGGTACGCCTGCCAAGAGGCCCGCCGGCGGGGGCGAGGCGGGCCCAAGGGGGCAGCGGCGAGGCGCCAGGAGGCCCAAGCCAGGGGCCGCGGGGCCAGGCCGGGGGCACGGGGCCAGGCCGGGGGGGGGGGGCCGCGGGGCGCCCAAGTCAGGCGTTCCTTCAGCGGCGCTTAAGGTACGTCTGCCAAGTGGCCCACCGGCGGGGGCGAGGCGGGCCCAATGGCGGGCACGGCAAAACCCTGGGGGACCCAGGCCGGGGGCCGCGGGCCCAGGCCAGGGGCACAGGGTCAGGCCAGGGGGGCCGCGGGGCGCCCGGGTCAGGCGTGCCTTAAGGAGCCCGGTAAGGTACGCCCGCCCAGCACGCCGCCGGGAAGCCCAAGACGGGCCCAGGAGCAGCGGCAAGACGGGGGGGCGGCGGCGCAGGGCGGGCGACGCAGGGCCAGGCCAGGACCCGCGGGAAACCGGGCCAGAGGCCCCGGGGCCAGGGGGAGGCCAGAACGGGGGCAGGGGGCTCACAGAGCGGCCGCACCGCTTCTTTACGGGGTCAAGCCTGAACCGCCCCGCGGCCCCCGCGGGGCGACCAGGGCCCATGACCCCGCCGCTATGCCTGTCCCTCCCCCAGTCTGCTGCGGTCGGCGGCCGTGGGCTGCGCCCTCGCCTGTGACCAAGCCAAATCCTGAGTGGCTCTTAAGAGGGTGCTGGGGAGGAGGGAGGGGTTGGAAACTCGTCCATGGGGGGTGGGGTTGGAGAGGAAGGAGAAGGTTTGTTGAGGTTGGGGATGGTGCCGCCAAAGCGGTCTTAGACCTGCGTCTGTTCTGGTGCCCGTGTATCTGCCCGTGCCCGTTGGTGGGCCCCGACAGGTAGTCCTCGAATCCAGATAGCCTGATCTGCCTGACCTGATGCTGACTGATGCTGATGCTGATGCTGATGCTGATGCGATGCTGATGCTGATGATGCTGCTGATGCTGAATGCTGATGTGACCTGATGGTGCATGATGATGATGATGCGATGATGACTGATGATGCCGATGATGATGATGATGATGATGCCCCTGATGCTAATGCTAATGCGATGATGATGATGATGATGATGATGGATGATGCTGCATGATGATGATGATGAGATGATGATGATGATGATGATGACGAGGAGGAGGAGGAGGAGGAGGAGGAGGAGGAGGAGGAGGAGGAAGGAGGAGGAGGAGGAGGAGGAGGGGAAGGAGGAGGAGGAGGAGGAGCAGCAGAAGCAGCAGCAGCAGCAGCAGTAGGAGGAGGAGGAGTCGAAGGAGGGGTGCCCCGCTCCGACTCTCCGTGGAAATGTCCAGAAGTGTTCGTGCTCAGCAACATTGGAAGACATGCGCAATCGCTTCCTCGGCGACACAGAAGCGCGGGCGCCAACGCTCAGGCTTCGGGCCTCCTGCAGCCTCTTTGGACCCCGATGCGGGGAGATCCCTCGAGGTTGGACGGTGCACGCGGCTGCAAAAAAAACGGATCCCACGCACTTGCCGCAGCATTGTCTTTGTTGCCGCTGCCTTCCTGCCCCCTTGCGCCAGCCAGCCCGACCTGGCCTCCGCGCCGCCCAGCCGCAGGACCATCAGCCCCGCGGCAGCAGCAGCAGCACTGGCAGCAGGCTCGCAGCCGCCCGGCGCAGCAGGCCGGCAGCCGCAGGGGCTGGCTGGCAGCCGCCCAGTGTACCCCGCAACGCTGGAGCGCGCGCCCTGCTCATCTCATGGGGTCTGGTCCCTCCGTCTTTCAGAATGTCCCCCGCTACAGTCGGACCGAGGTATAAGATCGAAATCGGTTCGGGGAGGGTGCCCTGATGTTCCTCGTGTTTGATCGTGTTTGTTGGACGTTCTTGTGCGTCCTGGGGAGGGTACCCTTGGATGCTCTGTGTGTTTTGGCCGGCGGAGGGTCTCGTGTTCTTGAGGGATGGTATTATGTCCTAGGTCCGACTGTAGGTCTCCCGTTCCCCCTCTGAGCTCCTCAAGGGATCGTTGCTGTACGTATTGGACGCCATGGTTTTGCCTGCCTGCAGCCCCCAAGAGTACGAGCATACACTCCGTAGCCATTTTGGCTCAAGAGCTCTACGAGGGTCCCGGCGGTAACCTGGTTGACCAGAGCTTACCTCCTGGTCAGCCAGGCCTCCTCCTGGTCAGCCAGGCCTCACCGCTGGGGGTCCCCCTCGTCTCGAGCTGCATTGTGCAGACGGGAGTCTTTGGTTCCACATGCTGTACACTGCGCACTTGTTCTGAGCCTCAAGCCTGTGCCTTTCTTCAATTGATGTTGTCTTCTCTTTGTGGACCCCCTTGGATTTCATATTCGAGTGAGTGGTCTCAGGAAAGTCACGACATGCATTTCTCTTACAATCCTCATGCTTCTCATAATCAGTTCCCCGCTTCAGTTCCCAAATCTAGCAGTTGGAAGCGCAAAAGCTAGAGAGAGATTACCGGAGAGAGTATCATCAGCTCACGTGTCGGAGGTGTGGTTGTGTGCGATATTCATGCCGTGTTGTACCCTTCTCAATTCATGCAAATTTGTGACTACTCAGACGTTCGATTCAAAATGCAATGAGACGTAGAGCTGGTGTTGTGGGCCCCCGTTGGAATCGACGGAGTGGCCTCATGCTGTGTTGTACTCTTTTCAATTCATGCAAGTTGGTGGTTATTCAGGTGAAACATTCATCGCGGTCCGTGGGTTATTCGACGGAGGCGCTTCTGATCTTGAGTTCTCTCGCGGGTGCATTTCGCTACAATTGTAGCGGTGACGTGATGTTACGTCTGAAAATTTCACTGATCAGTTCATGCAAGTTCGATGATGACAAGAAAACATTCCATTCAAAATGCAATGAGACGTAGAGCTGGTGTTGTGGGCCCCCGTTGGAATCGACGGAGTGGCCTCATACTGTGTTGTACTCTTCTCAAGTCATGCAAGTTTGTGGTTATTCATGCGAAACATTCATCGCGATCCGTGGGTTATTCGACGGAGGCGTTTCTGATCTTTTTGATCGTTACTCTTTACAACTCATGCAAGTTTTCGAGGATGGCAAAGAGACATGCAATTCAAAATGCAATGTGGCGTAGAGCTGGTGTTGTGGGCCCCTGTTGGACTTGACGGAGTGGCCTCATGCTGTGTTGTACCCTTCTCAATTCATGCAAGTTGGTGGTTACTCAGGTGAAACATTCATCGCGACCCGTGGGTTATTCGACGGAGGCGTTTCTGATCTTGAGTTCTCTCGCGGGTGTTTTCGCTTCAATTGTAGCGGCGTTGCGAGGTTACTTCTGATCGTTACTCTTTACAAGTCATGCAAGCTTCCGATGATGACAAGGTAAAGTTCAAGTTTGTTCCGATCGCGGAGGAGGCGTTTGGCCTGGATCCGCGGCAGTCCGTGATACATCGTGTGTCTGTACCATGCTAAATTCATGCATGTGGTGATTGATCATTTGTCGGCGAAGCTCTCTCTCGTTGCTCTTCGCTTCATTTGTAGCGGCGGCGTGAGGTGTGTATAGCGGCTTGGTGTGAATCATTGACTGTATATTCAGGTAAACCTCTGACATTGCTGCCTCGAAGAAAGTCACTTGTTTGCCTCAAAGAAGGTCCTTGCCCGCGTCCTTGTCTTGTACTCTTGTACAGCTCAACGAGTGTCGCAGTTTTTCTTGGCTTATTGTGCGCCTGCTCGCTGCCCCATGAGGGCCTGATTAGCGAGACCGCACACCGCAAAACAAAATAGTACGAGCATACACTCATTGCTTCCAGGGGCATGCTGGCCGTTTGCTGTCCGTTCGGCTTGCGTAAATACTTGGTAAGTGCTGGTCCTTGTGGTTTTGGTTCCCAGTGCGTGTCTGTTTTCAGTCCGTTCAGATTTTAGGTGTGGCTGAGCGTCGACCGTGCCTGAGCTTGGCGTCCACGCGGCGGATGGAGGGCTTCGGTTCGGAGCTTGGTTCGGGATCGACTTCGTGATTCCCAGGATTTCTAAACGTTACGATTTCTCCCCAGCCTTGCGTCGCATCCTCTGCCCGTGCCTTCTCGCCGCTAGCGTTTCCGCGACCCCACACCGTGCAGCTCTTAGAGTCCTGTAATGTTGCGGTAGAGAGGTTACGTGGGAGCAGTTTTCGGACAACTACCATGTCGAGACGAGGTGTTCTTGAAAACAAGCCAAGCTATCACGGCTTCAGCGCGCGCATTTCTTGACAATACGATGCAGGGAGTTGATTGGCAAAAGGACAAGACCTGGGCTGCATAACCAGACAAGCCTGTGCTCGTTTTTGGAGGCCTTCTTGTCTCTGGTTGGTCTGATGACTGCTTGTACGGCACGCCAACAAAATGTTGCACCACCTGGCACGGACAATAAATCGCATCACTGTTCTACAAGCGTTTGTTTTCCACCCCCCTTCCCCCCGATCTTAATATTGGGTTCAGTCTGCGCTAGTCAAAACAGCTCGGGAGCCCCTGGGCGGCCCAAGGGCTTTTCGCCGTGCACCCAATATTAGAAAGAGCGTGGTCTACCGCTGCTGGAGGAAAACCGGGGGGGGTCACTGGGGGGTCCCCCTCCCCTCGAAAACCGGGAGGGGGTCACTACCGGTTCGAACCCCTCCCCCCCCCTCCAGTCCATCATGAAAAGGGGCGGGTCACTACCGGCTCGAACCCTACCGGATCGAACCCTCCCCCCCCCTCCCCCTCGCCGCCGGCAAACGATTCCCGCTCCTCGGGACAATTGGACAATGATGGGGATGCTGGGACAGTGGTGGGAACGGTGGTGGTGGGGACGGTGGTGCGGGGACAGTGGGACAGGGGTGCGGACAGTGGTGGGGACGGTGGTGGTGGGCACAGTGGTGAGGGGACAGCGGGACAGTGGTGGGGACAGTGGGACAGTGAGGGAACGGTAGTGGTGGGGACAGTGGTGAAGGCGGTGGTGAGGACAGTGGTGGCACAGTAGCACAGTGGGGAAAGTGGTGGGGACAGTGAGGACAGTGGGACAGTGATGGGGACAGTGGGGACGGTAGGACAGCACAGTGGGACAGCGCCGGGGACAGTGAGACAGTGGTGGGTACAGTGGAGACAGTGGGACAGTGGTGGGGACCGTGGGGAAAGTGGGGAGAGTGGGACCGTGGTGGGACAATGGTCAGTGGGGACAGTGAGACACTGGTGGGGGCACTGGTGGGGACAGCGGGGACAATGGTGGGAACAGTGACAGTGGGACTTCTGGGGACGACCGCTAGCGTTTGGGGACCGCGACCCCACACCGTGCAGCAGTCTGGGACAGTAGAGTCCTGTAATGTGGTGCGGTAGAGAGGTTACGTGGGAGCAGTTTTCGGACAACTACCATGTCGAGACGAGGTGTTCTTGAAAACAAGCCAAGCTATCACGGCTTCAGCGCGCGCATTTCTTGACAATACGATGCAGGGAGTTGATTGGCAAAAGGACAAGACCTGGGCTGCATAACCAGACAAGCCTGTGCTCGTTTTTGGAGGCCTTCTTGTCTCTGGTTGGTCTGATGACTGCTTGTACGGCACGCCAACAAAATGTTGCACCACCTGGCACGGACAATAAATCGCATCACTGTTCTACAAGCGTTTGTTTTCCACCCCCCTTCCCCCCGATCTTAATATTGGGTTCAGTCTGCGCTAGTCAAAACAGCTCGGGAGCCCCTGGGCGGCCCAAGGGCTTTTCGCCGTGCACCCAATATTAGAAAGAGCGTGGTCTACCGCTGCTGGAGGAAAACCGGGGGGGGTCACTGGGGGGTCCCCCTCCCCTCGAAAACCGGGAGGGGGTCACTACCGGTTCGAACCCCTCCCCCCCCCTCCAGTCCATCATGAAAAGGGGCGGGTCACTACCGGCTCGAACCCTACCGGATCGAACCCTCCCCCCCCCTCCCCCTCGCCGCCGGCAAACGATTCCCGCTCCTCGGGACAATTGGACAATGATGGGGATGCTGGGACAGTGGTGGGAACGGTGGTGGTGGGGACGGTGGTGCGGGGACAGTGGGACAGGGGTGCGGACAGTGGTGGGGACGGTGGTGGTGGGCACAGTGGTGAGGGGACAGCGGGACAGTGGTGGGGACAGTGGGACAGTGAGGGAACGGTAGTGGTGGGGACAGTGGTGAAGGCGGTGGTGAGGACAGTGGTGGCACAGTAGCACAGTGGGGAAAGTGGTGGGGACAGTGAGGACAGTGGGACAGTGATGGGGACAGTGGGGACGGTAGGACAGCACAGTGGGACAGCGCCGGGGACAGTGAGACAGTGGTGGGTACAGTGGAGACAGTGGGACAGTGGTGGGGACCGTGGGGAAAGTGGGGAGAGTGGGACCGTGGTGGGACAATGGTGGGGGCAGTGGGGACAGTGAGACACTGGTGGGGGCACTGGTGGGGACAGCGGGGACAATGGTGGGAACAGTGGGGACAGTGGGACAGTGGTGGGGACGGTGGTGGTGGGGACAGTGGTGTGGGGACAGTGGGAATGTAGTGGAAACAGTGGGACAGTGGAGGGTACAGTGGTGGTGGGGACATTGGTGAGGGCGGTGGCGAAGACGGCGGTGGGACAATGGGACAGAGGTACAGTGGGGACAGTGGTGGGGACAGTGGTGGGAACAGTGGGACAGCTCAGTGGGACAGCGGCGGGGACAGTGGGACAGTAGGGACAGTGGGACAGTGGTTAGGGCCGTGGAGAAAGTGGGGAGAGTGGAACCGTGGTGGGAACAGTGGTGGGGACAGCGGGTACAGTGCGACAGTGGTGGAGGCACTGGTGGGGACAGTGGGGACGGTGGTGGGAACAGTGGGGACAGTGGTGGTGAGGACAGTGGTGTGGGGACAGCAGTGGGGGATGTGGTGCGGACGGTTGTAGGGACCCGGGAATCGTTTGCCGGCGGTGAACGTGGGGGGGGAGGGGTTCGAACCGGTAGTGACCCCCCCCGCTCGTTTTCGAGGAGGGGGTTCGAACCGATAGTGACCCCCCGCCAGTTTTCGGAGGGGGGGGGGGTTACCTGTGTGACACCTCCCGGTTTTTTGGAGGGGGGGCAGGGGGGAGGGTCGCACCAGAAGTACCCCCCCCGCGGTTTCTAGAAGGGGGGGGGTGTCGAACCGGTGGTGACCCCCCACCGGTTTTCTGGAGGGGAAGGGAGGAGGGGTTCGAACCGGTAGTGACCCCCCTCCTCAGGTTTCAGGGGGGGGGTTCGACCCGATAGTGACCCCCCCCGTTTTACCAGAGGGGGGGGGGTTCTCGGAAGGTAGTGACCCCTCCGGTTTCCGAGGGGGAGGGAGGGGGGAGGGGGAGGGGGGATTTTGTGGGGGTAAAGGGGGGGGTCCCAGCAGGAGGGGGGGGGGGGGGGGATTTTCGGGGAGGGGGGGGACCTCCGGGATCCGGAGGAGGAGGGGAGGAAATTTTCCACAGTAAAGCGGCGGTGGATCACGCTTTCTCCAATATTAAGATTGGGGGGAAGGGGAACGAGCATTGAGTATAGGTGCCAACGCGCAGCAAAAGTGGTGCAACAGTTTGTTGATGTACGGTACGTCCACGTCCTGTTTTTACGCGCCAATGCCCGTTTGATATGAAGTCGGCGAAGTCACATCACTTCGCCTTGTCTACTCCCTGTCTGCTGTCTCCGCCTGGACCCTTTTCTGCCTGCCCGCCCGCCCCGCCGGCCCTGGCCTCCCGCCTGGGCTCAGCCACGCGCCGAGAGGGGTGCGGGGAGGGGGGAGGGCTTCTAAGAAGCACTCCTGCTTCTTAGAAGGCGCGGGCCTTATCCATAGATGTAAGGCCGGCGCCTTCTAAGAAGCAGTCTCCTTCTAAGAAGCCCCCCCTCCCTCCACCTCCTTGTGCGCTCCGCCAATGGGCGTTCGTCGTCGTCTGTGTGATTCTCCCCTCTTCGTCCCCTTCCGCCGAGCAGCACAGCCTGCCCGGGACCAGCGTGACGGCATGTTTGTTTCGGTTTTTGGGCGCCAGGACCGTCCTGGGCCCAGGGCAGGCCGCCCAGGATCTTGGTGTTGAGGGTTTCTCCGAAGGGCTTAGGCGACCCGCCTTCCTCCTCCTCTTCCTCCTCCTCCCTCCTCCTCCTCCTCCTCCTCCTCCTCCTCCTCCCCCTCCTCCCTCCTCTCCTCCTCCTCCCCTCCTCCTACCTCCTCCTCCTCCTCCTCCTCCTCCTCCTCCTCCTCCCCCTCCCCCTCCTCCTCCATCTCCTCCTCCCCCTCCCCCTCCCCCTCCTCCACCTCCTCCTCCTCCTCCTCCTCCTCCTCGGGTCGCCTACGGCCCCGGGGGAAACTGTGCATCTTGATGTTGGCACAAGAATATCAACATGATACGGTACATCGACAAAATGTTGCACCACCTGGTGCCCAAGACAGCGGACACCGTTTTAAAATAAACGCTTACGTCTGAGCCTCCCCCCACCCCCATCTAAAATTGGCTGCGGTCCGGGGTCGCCGAAACAGGTCGGTGGTGCAACATTCTGTCGATCGCCGGGGAAATTTCAGACTAGCTCCTTCTCGCATGCCCCTGATATTTGATGGGGGTGGGGGGGAGGCGGGGTGTTGAAGTACACATTTCAGAGCTCGACGTACGGTATCCTGGGTAACTGCAGTGGGGGCCCATGCCAAAAATACCCTGCTTGCCTCCAGGGTGCCCTGGGTATCTTGGGTTTCGATGGTTTTGCGATGGAAAGCGTGACGTTCCAACACCAACAATCAGTGGACGCCCTGGGGTCTCAGGGTTGGGTATCTCGTGGAAGATTTCTCGTGGTCGAGCTTCTGCTGCATGGAAGCCTCCGCCTGGATGCTCAGACCCTCTGAGGTGTCATAGGGGATCCTGGTCGTCGCTGCTGGCGGCGCAGCGGCCTCTGGGGGCTCCAGCGGGTCTCGGATGCTGGCCAGGTTTCGGGCAGGGAGTCGCGGACGGCGGAGCTCAGGATCGCCGAAGGGGCCAGGAGGAGGGAGGAGCTCCGCGGGAGGAGAGAGGAGGAAGGAGAAGGAAGGAGGAAGGAAGGAGGAAGGAGAAGGAAGGAGAAGGAGGGAGGATATCAGCGGGAGGATATCAGCGGGAGGAGGAAGGAAAAGGAAGTAGAAAGGAGCAAGGAGGGGGAGGGGGACTTGGGAAGTGAAAGGCAGACGCGTCAGAGAGCAGCCAAGCGGCAGCTGAAGGTGCCGCTCTGCTCTCTTTTGGCCACAGGTTGGCGGCCGTTTTCTGCCAGACTATGCTTCCCAGGTTGCTGCTGCCCTGCCGGGGGCCCAACCCTTCTTGCTCGTCGTCTTCTGCCTCCCCCTCCGAGCCCCAGTCGTCGTCTGCTCGGTTTAGCTAGAGGGGGGGGGGCTCCCTCAAATACCCGGTGTCAACGTCACTCTCTTGCAGGACGTGGCGATGCAGTCCCAGCCCATGCCCGCCGCGAGCTACGGGAATGGCGAGCAGCGAGCTCAGCGTCCGCGAGCGCAGCGCTCGCCGCCCTCTGGGAGGGGGGGGGGCGGGGAGAGGGGGGCGCAGGGCAGGCGAGCGGGGAGCCGTCGCGCATCGCCCTCGCCTCAAGGGGAAGCCCCCCGTTGAGATTGGTGGTGCCCACTTTCAACACCTGCCGCGCCCGCAGCGGCAGGGCAGGGAAGGGTTGCATCCTTTGGATTCGTTCGCCCTGAGCAGCAGTAGCAGCCGTCGCGCTGCGAAGGATCTCGGCTGGGCGTGACTGCAGGTTCTCGCTCGCCTCCCCCTGCGCCAGTTGGTCTCCACTAACCGATCCTTATTAAAGAATAATAATAAGACGAATAATAATACTACCACTAATAAATGTAACAATTTGAACAAGAAGAACAATAATAATAAGAAGAAGAATAATTATCCTAGTGCGAACCTACCTAGGAGTTGGAGCCTCTAGGAAAGCAACATTCATAGGAGCGGTAAACGCCGTCCTCCTCCTTCTCCTCATCGTCGTAGTTGTAGCAGTAGCAAGAAGTAGTAGTAGTAGTAGTAGTAGTAGTCGTCGTCGTCGTCGTCGTCGTCGTCGTCGTCGTCGTCGTCGTCGTCGTCGTCGTCGTCGTCGTCGTCGTCGTCGTAGTAGTAGTAATTTAGTAGTAGTAGTAGTAGTAAGTAGTAGTAGTAGTAGTAGTAGTAGTAGTTAGTTTAGTAGTAGTAGTAGTAGTTGTCGTCGTCGTCGTCGTGTCGTCGTCGTCGCGTCGTCGTCGTTTCGTCGTTCGTCGTTAGTAGTAGTAGTAGTAGTAGTAGTAGTATTAGAAGCATAGAAGTATAGCAGTTAGCAGTAGTAGTAGCAGTAGCAGTAGCAGTAGCAGTAGCAGTAGCAGTAGAGCATATTATTAGTATTAATAGTAGTAGTAGTAGTAGTAGTTAGTAGTAGTAGTAGTAGTAGTAGTAGTAGTAGTAGTAGTAGTAGTAAAAGTAGTAGTAGTAGTAGTAGTAGTAGTAGTAGTAGTAGTAGTAGTAGTAGTAGTAGTAGTAGTAGTATGAGCGCCAGAACCGCGCACACACACGCACATGCATGGAACATACGTGCGCACACACACATAAGTACATATGTATATATATATATATAGCAGCAATAGTGGATGCTGTGCTGCGCTATGCTATGCTATGCTCTGCTATGCTGTGCTATGCTATGCTATGCTATGTTATGCTGCGCAATGCTATGCTGAGCTAGGCTAGGCTAGGCTAGGCTGTGCTATGCTATGCCATGCTATGCTATGCTGCGCTATGCTATGCTGCACTATGATATGCTATGCTATGCTATGCTATGCTATGCTATGCTTTTGCTTTGCCTTCGCTTTTGCCTTCACTTTTGCCTTTGCTGTTGCTTTTGCTTGGCACCCAGGGAGTACAACTGGGGGAACCGCGCGTTTGCTTTTACCTTTGCTGTTGCTTTTGCTTGGCTCCCAGGGGACTGGGGGAACCGCCCGGGGCGCGTTCCATTGCCCGGCCCTTTAAGCCAAGCGAGTAAGAACCCTTCTAGGCAGAGCTTAGGTAGGGAATAAGAATAATTATCCCAGTGCGACCCTACCTAGGAGTTGGAACCCCTAGGAAAGCAGCATTAGTAGTAACAGCAACGCTAAGCTAAAGCTAAGCTAAAGCTAAGCTAAAGCTAAGCTAAAGCTAAGCCACAGCTAAGCTAAAGCTAAGCTAAAGCTAAGCTAAAGCTGAGCAACAGCTAAGCTAAAGCTAAGCTACAGCTAAACTAAATATAAGCTAAAGATAAGCTAAAGCTAAGCTAAAGCTAAGCTAAAGCTAAGCTAAAGCTAAGCTAAAGTTAAGCTACAGCTAAGCTCAAGCTAAGCTAAAGCTAAGCTAAAGCTAAAGCTAAAGCTAAAGCTCCCAGGGGACTGGGGGGAACCGCTCCCAGGGGACTGGGGGAACCGCCCGGGGCGTGTTCCACTGCCCGGCCCCTTTAAGCTAAGAGAGTAAGAACCCTTCTAGGCAGAGCCTAGGTAGGGAATATATGAAGTAACATTTCTTTGTGTTGTCTTCGTTGATTTTGCTATGCTATGCTATGCCGCGCTATGCTATGCTATGGTATGGTATGCTATGCTATGCTGCGCTATGCTTTGCTATGCTAGGCTATGTTATGATATGCTATGCTGCGCTATGATTTGCTATGCAATGCGATGCTATAAAATGCTATGCTATGCTATGATGCGCTGTGCTATGCTAATCTATGATATGCTAAGCTATGCTAAACTATGCTCTGCAATACTGTGCTATGTTATGCTGTGCTATGCCATGCTATGCTACGCTAAGCTAAGCTACATTAGGCTAAGCGAAGCTCAGCTAAGCTAAGCTAAGGTAAGCCAAGCTAAGCTAAGCTAAGCCGAGCTAAGCTAAGCCAAGCTAAGCTAAGACGAGATAAGCTAAGCCAAGCTAAGGGGGCGCTATGCTAAGCTATGCTAAGCTATGCTATGCAATACTGTGCTATGCTATGCTGTGCTATGCTATGTCATGCTATGCTATGCTACGCTAAGTTAAGCTACATTAGGCTAAGCTAAGCTAGGCTAAGCTAAGCTAAGCTAAGCTAAGGTAAGCCAAGGTAAGCTAAGCTAAGCCAAGCTAAGCCAAGCTAAGCTAAGACGAGATAAGCTAAGCCAAGCTAAGGGGGCGCGACTGGGGGAACCGCGGGGCGGGGACTGGGGGAACCGCCCGGGGCGTGTTACACTGCCCGGCCCCTTTAAGCTAGAGAGTAAGAACCCTTCTAGGCAGAGCCTAGGTAGGGAACAAGAAGACGAAGAAGAAGACGAAGAAGAAGAAGATGCGTGTGCCGCGTAAAAGAGGGCTCTTCCCGGCTACCTCTGTCCCCTCCATGCGACCTACCCCGCGTTCGAGGTTTGCCCGAGCAGGTGTAGTGGGAGCGGCGGGTGCGTCAAGTTTTGAATGAAGAAAGCGGCCCCCTCGCGTCCTCGCGTATTCGAACGCATTCGGAGTGCTTGATGCAGCCCGATCTTACGAACGGTCTGCAGCGGAGTGCCCGAATGTGGACCACCGTGGTCATCGTGCCAGGCGCCAAGACGTATTCGGAGTTGTTGCGCGAGACGACTTCCACGGTCTCCAGCAGCACGACGCAGCTGTTCGAGGTGGACCGTGCCAGCAACATGGGCGAGTGGCACCAGTTCGCCGCCCTGCGGCCAAGCTCGAGCTGCTCGACGGCGGCGGCGGCCGATTGGGTCCAACCTCCGTGATCCTTTCGGCGGCGCCGCAAAGGGTGGCATCAGGGCCGAGCTCACGACCACACTGGTGTGCGCCGCCCTCCTCACCTGCCCCAGGTGGGCCAAAGCGCTGCTCGAGCGGCGCGGCGGCGGCGGCCGACCGGGTTAGCCTTCGTGCTTCTTTCGGCAGCACCACGGTGAATGGCATCAGGGTCGAGGGCACGGCCACGCTGGTGCGCGCCGCCCCCCCTGCCTGCCCCCTCCCGGATCCACTTCGATCCGAGTGATCCGGTTCGGCATCGGCTCTGGGCGCCCCGATTCGATTCGATTCCGACTCCGAGCCGAGGCGGTCCGATTCCATATACGCTCCGATCCGATCCGATGTCGCCGATCCCCAGGGGAATGTGGAAAGTGGAGGGGGGGAGACGGAAATCCAGATAATGTGAAAGGTAGGGGGATTCCTGGAACTCGCGTCTATCTTGAACAGACGTTTGTAGCAACGATGTCTAACATCCTGTGGTCCCTTCCTGATGAAGCATCCTAACCAAACATCGTGCTTGTTTGTGTGCCCCTGGGCCCCCTCGTCGACTGATCCCCCCTGGAGGCACGGCCTCCGCTCCAGAGAGCCCGGCCCCCCCTGGCGAGGGGAGCAGCCGGCGCGTGCGGGGACGGCCGGCGCGAGCGGGGACGGCACGAGCTGGGAGGCACGGCCTCCACAGGCCGCGGCCTCCGCTCCAGAGGCCGTGGTCCCCTGGGGAGGGGAGGACGGCGAGGAGGAGGAGGAGGAGGAGGAGGAGGAGGAGTACGAGGACGAGGAGGAGGAGGAGGAGGAGGAGGGGGAGGAGAAGGGGAAGCAGGAGGGGGGTGGAGGAGGAGGACGACAAGAGTTTCAGGGATAGAGGGAGGTTCATTTTCAAAATGTTGTTATCGCCGTAAGCGCCGTGCACATTCGTTTTCAGAGCTTGCATCAGTCCCAAGGATTATCATGGTTGTCGTATGGTGTTTTGGCACGATGTCGGATTGTCAGGGCGCGGTGTTGAAGTACCAGGATTGGTGTTCTGGCACGATTCAGAATCGTCAAGACGCAACAGTAACGATGATGCGGCGTTGACGTCCCAGGAATGATGTTCTGCCACAGCTCCGGATTTGCAAACACTTGTCTTCCAACAGGGTAGTTCCTTCAGTGTAAATGAATCCTTGTCTGGGGAGCTTGGCGGGAGGGTTTATTTCTCCTCCTTTGCCTCCCTCCCCTCCCCCTCCTCCTCCTCCTCCTCCTCCTCCTCCTCCTCCTCCTTCCCCGTGCGTCTGCGTCTTCCCATCCTCCGCTGGCGACTCGGGTGCACCGTACCGCGTTGGCGTCTTCCGAGGCGTCGTCGATCCTCGGCCCAGGGATTGTACGTGCATATAGTTTTTGGCCTTCGAGGCCGAACACATATGCTCCGTACCGGGCTGGAGTGGGGCTTGAAGGGAGTCGACACTTGGTACAGTGCATGGGCCCCATTGTCGTGCCTCCACCCTGACTCTGGATCCGCCCTACTCTGGGCGATTTCGCAAGAAGGGCGGAAAGGTTCGCCCTACCTTTCGAGCTACTTTGATGTCGACTGCCGCCCTCCTTTGTCGTCGCTGTCTCCGCCACACCTCTGCGGAAACAGCCGCCTCGTGTTCCCGAGGCGGAAATCTCCGCCCGACTTGTTCGCATCCTTCGGGGTGCACTCCTTGGTGCGTTCCGGTGCGGAGTCAGGGCTCCCCTTGAAGGCGGTCAGGGATCTGAATTGGTTGGGACTCCAGAGAATCGGTCGGGAGGGAGGATGGGGCCAAACTGGTTCAAAATCGGTCCCAACCCCTCCTGGGGTCCGTCTGGTGTAGTTTTTCACCCCAGATCCGTTTGTGGCGGCCCCGGGGCCCGAAAACGGCCACAGTAGTGGGCCAAGAAAGGTAAAAATTCTGGAGCCTAGAGCCTCGAACCTGCCCGCCCTCCCTGCTCGCCGGCATGATTGGTTGGGCCGGCTCAGACCCCCAGGTGGCTCCAGGGCTACCCTGCCTTCCTCGGGCCGGCCGGTCGGGTGCTGCCAGAAGTGCCCCTGGCCCAAGGTTCACCGAGCGCGTTCCACTACTCGCAAAGTACCTACTCGCAAACGTCAGAAGAAAATTATCCTGGCGAAGGACCCAACCATATGAAGTTGTGGGTACCGCAATTGTGAATATCTTCTTCGGTGGAGCTCCCTATGGGCCTATGGGGCTACGAAGCGCTGCCCTGGGTGGGGGAGACGCATGTGGACACCGCCACTGGGGCCTTAGGTGGAGCTCCCTATGAGACCACGAAGCGCTGTGTTGGGTGGGGAACGCATGTGGACACCTCCACTGCGACCTTCGGTGGAGCTCTCTATGGGGCCACGAAACGCTGTCCTGGGTGGGGGAACCGCATGCGGGCACCGTCACTGGGCCCTTCGGTGGAGCTCCCTATGGGGCCACGAAACGCTGCCCTGGGTGGGGGAACCGCATGCGGGCACCCCCACTGGGGCCTTCGGTGGAGCTCCCTATGGGGCTACGAAGCGCTGCCCTGGGCGGGGGAACCGCATGCGGGCACCCCCACTGGGGCCTACGGTGGAGCTCCCTATGGGGCTACGAAACGCTGCCCTGGGTGGGGGAACCGCATGGGCACCCCCACTGGGGCTACGTGGAGCTCCCTATGGGAACCGCATGCGGGCACCCCCACTGGGCCTTCGGTGGAGCTCCCTATGGGGCTACGAAACGCTGCCCTGGGTGGGGGAACCGCATGCGGGCACCTGGGTGGGGGAACCGCATGCGGGCACCCCCACTGGGACCGTCGGTGGAGCTCCCTATGGGGCTACGAGACGCTGCCCTGGGCGGGGGAACCGCATGCAGGCACCCCCACTGGGGCCTTCGGTGGAGCTCCCCATGTGTCCACGAAACGCTGCCCTGGGTGGGGGAACCGCATGCGGGCCCCCCCACTGGGGCCTTCGGTGGAGCTCCCTATGAGGCTACGAAGCGCTGCCCTGGGTGGGGGAACCGCATGCGGGCACCCCCACTGGGGCCTTCGGTGGAGCTCCCTATGGGGCCACGAAACGCTGTCCTGGGTATGGGGAGACGCATGCGCATGCGAACACCCCCACTGGGGCCTTCGGTGGAGCTCCCTATGGGGCTACGAAACGCTGCCTTGGGTGGGGGAACTGCATGCGGGCACCCCCACTGGGGCCTTAGGTGGAGCTCCCTATGGGGCCACGAAGCGCCGCCTTGGGTGGGCGAACCGCATGCGGGCACCCCCACTGGGGCCTTCGGTGGAGCTCCCCATGGGGCTACGAAACGTTGCCCTGGGTGGGCGAACCGCATGCGGGCACCCCCACTGGGGCCTTCGGCGGAACTCCCTATGGGGCTACGAAGCGCTGCCCTGGGTGGGGGAACCGCATGCGGGCACCCCCGCCGGGGCTTACGGTGGAGCTCCCTATGGGGCCACGGAGGAGGGGGGGTGGGGAGGAGGGGGGAGGAGGAGGAGAGGAAGGAAGGAAGGAAGGAACGCGGGGCGCTGTCACTTCAAAACGAGGACCCAAGACCACAGGATGGTTGGGGAAAAACACATTCGCTTCGATGTAATACATCGTAGTTAAATCCCCCACGGCGGATCCAGGCCATGTGCGACTAGTCACGAGGCCCAGGCGCGGGCCTTGCATCTACAGACAATGCCCGCGCCTTCTAAGAAGCAGGGGTGCTTCTAAGAAGCATTCCCCCCCTCCCCCATACTCCTTATGATTGAGCGCCGCCAAGAGTGCCCCTGGCCCACCCAAGGTGCCCCTGGCCCAAGGTCCCCCCTCCCCCTACCCCTTTTGCGCGCCGCCAGAGGTGCCCCTGGCCCAAGGCACACTCCCCCTCTGCGCGTGGCCGACACCTTCAGCAGCAACCCTCGAGACAGGGGGATGGCGGAGCGCGGCGCCGGCGCGGAGGTGAGGCCCGGCGCGAGCGAGGGCGGCCGCCCGAGGCCCCGTGTCCCCCTGGACGTCCGGGCGTACGCGTCCGAGTGGCAGGGCCAGCCGCCCACCTCCAGCTTCAACCTCTGAGCGGGGCCAGGGGGCGCCGAGGGAGGAGGACACAGGGAAACAAGGGATGGCATAAGCATGAAGACTCGGAGGTCCGCGCGGATTTCTCGGATCCGCGCTGGACCTGGAGGGTTTCTCCGAAGGGCTGAGGCGACCCGTCCTCCTCCTCCTCCTCCTCCTTCTCCTCCTCGTCCAGCTTCAACCTCTGAGCGGAGCCGGGGGAGCCGAAAGAGGAGAACGGGAGAGGGGCCACGATGGCAACGATCCACGATAACAGCGATAAGAACGATCTGATCGATCACAGCGATCGGCGCTGGACCTGGAGGGTTTCTCCGAAGGGCTTAGGCGACCCGTCCTCCTCCTCCTCCTCCTCCTCCTCCTCCTCCTCCTCCTCGGCCTCCTCCTCCTCCTCC